CTAATACTCATTGGTAGCAGGCCTATGAGCAGGGCCAGAGAGGCCAATTTTGAAGCCATGGTGGTTAGTACTGGTGCAAGTGTTCCTTCAGGTAATTGCCTAAGACTTTGAACAGGTGTGGGAGCACACTGGCAACAAATGCTTCTCATACAGTCCCTATATATTCTCCAATTGCCTAGCTTCCTCCAGCAACCAGGCAGCTGATTCTGTACCAATTAAAGCTGTTAAATCTCTTCAGAGGGATCCCATGTATTAATCTAGTCTGGATGTACATGGCTGTGGCAAGGTTTTTCCCCAGATAGTGTTGATTTGGTAAGTTGATGATCAGGATTCCTAGCCATCAGTACTGCCTATGTGGAGCCGAGGAACATTCGCAAGCTGTGAATGTGGCATATCAAGGTGACTGCAACCACCCCTGGAACTAGTTGTTCACCTCCACCAGATAAGTAGATTTCCTACCAACAGCATTTCTTTTTAATCTGAGTTAGATTTCAGCTTTCATCCATCCATCCATCCATCCAATCCATCCATCCATAGTGGGCAATGTATTATCTCCCAGATGATGAACTGTACCCCTATCTGACCCGACCAGCACACCAGATGACAGGGGTGATGGGCAGTTGTAGTCCAACATCTGGAAAGCACTCTTTATACAAGATTTGCTGTTCATTATTGCCACTCTGTCGCAATATATTGCTGTACTTTCTCATTCATTTTCAATCTCAGTGATTTCAACTATTATTCAAGCAGATTCCTTTTTCACCAAAGTTTCACATTTCTAATGCTTGCTTTATTGTATACTATTCTTTGTTTATTCACCCTATTAAGCATTCAGACGTTTTTGCTCTTCATCAGCTATTTAGCAACTTGTCTGCTGCCCTCTTCAAGCATATGAAGGAATGGTTCATTTGGTTCTAGTAAGCAAGAAATTCAGTCAGCTTGAGGCAACCAGGAAGATTTTCCCAGGCAAGTTCTCAGACAGTGATGGGCCACCTTGATAAGTTAATTTCAGTATCATATGAGAGTAGCATATTGTCATCCATTTATTAATGTATTTTTACTGCCAGAAAAGGAGAGAAGTGCTTGTGCAGATTCCTGCCTCAGGTGCTAAAATAACTTGACCAGCCTTTCATAACATGAGGTTTGACCAGGGTGAAGTTGTGCATTTGCTGTTCCACCTGAGGCAGCAAAATGTCATCACTTTGCTATCCACACTCTGGAAAAAGATTCACAGTGGTCAAGAGTAGAAAATGACCGGCACTGGTGAACAGAAGAATTGGTTGCTAGTGCATCTGAACTGAGGGGTGTTTGTAGAGTAGTTCATAATTTCTTTTAAAACAAAGATCTGCTTGAGTGAACACTTCTGGGTGAATGTATAATGTATTACAATTCATTCCATATGGATATTTTTATAGCAAGAATAATTCATCAATAAATTCAGAAATAATTTAAATATGTACAATTCCCTCTGATGTCAAATAAGTATAGTGCCATTTCTAACACTTAAACACAATACACATGTGTAATAACACCTCTGAGCATTTCATCCAGCAAGGAGCTGCAAGACATGTTCCATAGGAATAAGCATTTTACTAACGTGCTGGAAGTGTAAGAGATCCAAGTTAATTCATTCTTCAACATTATAGTGGAGTTGCAATTGGCGATGAAGCGAGTTGGGAGACGGCTAGAGCGTAGGTGGAGGAAATCACGAGATGAATCTGACCGAACACACTTGAGAGCCCACTATCGGGCCTATGCTGTGGCGGTGAAGGCGGCGAAAAAGAAGTTTTTTTCCACTTCCATTGCCTCCTCACAATGCCGTTCAGCGGAGCTTTTTCGAGTGGTGCAAGGCCTGGTTCGCCCGGGTCCTAAGGAAGATCCGATGCCACCCTCAAAGGCCCGCTGTGACGACTTTGCCAGGCATTTCAGGGAGAAAATCGCTCAGATTCGTCACGAGCTGGACTCCACTAATGAATCAGAGGTCTCTGAGGAGTCGCCAATGCCACCGTCTGGTCCAAAATTATTGGAGGAATTTCAATTACTGCGGCCCAATGATGTGGACAAGGTGCTTGGAAGAGTACGTCCCACCACTTGCCTATTGGATCCTTGCCCGTCTTGGTTAATAAATAACTCCAAGCACGGGATTGGGACCTGGATCTTGGAAGTGGTTAATGCTTCTCTGAGGGAGGGTCGAGTGCCTGCCCCTTTAAAGGAGGCGGTAATACGACCGGTCCTGAAGAAAGTGTCACTGGATCCAGAGATGGCCACTAACTATAGACCTGTGGCCAACATCCCGTTTCTGGGCAAGGTGTTGGAGCGAGTGGTGGCGGGACAACTCCAAGCACTCTTGGATGAAACTGATTATCTGGATCCTTTTCAGTCCGGCTTCAGACCTGGGTACAGTACTGAATCTGCCTTGGGCGCCCTGTACGACGACCTGTGCAGGGAGAAGGACAGGGGGAGTACATCCCTGTTGGTTCTTCTGGACCTCTCGGCGGCTTTCGATACCATCGACCATGGTATCCTTCTGGATAGACTTGCGGGATTGGGGGTTGGAGGCACTGCTTTGCAGTGGTTCCGCTCCTATCTCGACGGTCGATTCCAGAAGGTAGTGCTGGGGGACCATGTCTCTACATCATGGCAGCTATGCCATGGGGTACCACAGGGCTCCATTCTATCCCCTCTGCTATTTAACATCTATATGAAACCGCTGGGAGAGGTCATCAGGAGGTGTGGGCTGCGGAATCATCAATACGCTGATGATACCCAGCTTTACCTCTCGTTCTCCACTAATCCAGGTGAGGCAGTGGCTGTGCTGAACCGGTGCTTGGCCGAGGTAAGGGAATGGATGAGGGCCAATAAACTGAAACTCAACCCAGACAAGACGGAGGTCCTGTTGGTTGGCGGATCGGGTTTCGGAGAGGGTGGATTTGACCTGGTCCTGAATGGTGCAACACTCCCTCTTAGGGATAAGGTCCGCAGCTTAGGAGTACTCCTCGACCCGGAGCTTTCTTTGGAAGCTCAGGTGACAGTGGTAGCGAGGAACGCCTTCCTTCAGCTTCGGCTGATTAATCAGCTGCGCCCCTACCTGGAGTATGACTGCCTGGCGACGGTGACACACGCGCTGGTGACTTCCCGCCTAGACTTCTGTAACGCGCTTTACGTGGGGCTTCCCCTGAAGACAGTCCGAACACTTCAATTGGTGCAAAATAGAGCTGCCAGGTTGCTGACGGGGACGGGGCGTTATGCTCACATGACTCCAGTCCTCCGTCAGCTTCACTGGCTTCCCATTGAAGCCCGGGCCCAATTCAAGGTGTTGATTATGACCTACAAAGCCCTAAACGGCTTGGGTCCTGGCTACCTGAACGAGCGCTTACGTCCGTATATGCCCGACCGCCCTTTGAGATCTGCGGGAGAGTCCCTTCTCCGGGAACCCTCCATGAAAGAAATTAGGAGAGTAAGTACCCGGAGGAGGGCTTTCTCTGCGGTGGCGCCCAACCTATGGAATTCACTCCCCAAAGAGGTCCGCCTGGCACCGTCGTTACTGGTTTTTAGGCGCCAGGTAAAGACCTTTTTATTTAAACATCATTTCAATTGTTAAAACATATGATCTGGCCTGGGCAACTTCTTCTTCCTTCTCTTTCTCATCCTATATTTTTATTTTATACTGATAATTTTAATTTTGTATTTGTAAATCAATGTATTTTTTGTATTTTTATATTTAATGGTAATTTATTATGTACTATTGTGTTTCAATGTATTTTATCATGTTGTAAGCCACCCTGAGGTTTCGGCAAGGGGCGGCATAGAAATGTTATAATAATAATAATAATAATAATAATAATAATAATAATAATAATTGCCAGCCACTAAGTTGCATTAAAAAGTCCTGCCAAATAACTTGCTGAGAAAAGCAGGCCTTCAAATACAGCACAGGTAGGGCCCCAAAGAAGTATTTGGTTCAGCTCTTCTCTTTAGTTGACTGACCTGAGACTACACATTCACCATCTATAGTCTTTGCTGTATTAATGATGTTGAATTTGAACTCTATACCACTGTCATCACTGCCCATTTGCTTGCCTTGACCCATTGAACCCAACCAGACATTCTTCCCCTTGCTTTCGTCCATGCTTGCAGGGATCACAGAAACAGGCAGTGACAGCAAACACCTACAGAGCCAAGGAGTTCTTGTGCTCAGCACTGGGCTACCTGTTGGGGTGTGGGCACTGGCAGGTAACAGATAATGCCACCTCCTGATGCCAGTCTTGAGTTAGAGCAAACTTTTTTAGATAAATAAGCTGATTCATTTAAATTGGGGAAACAGTCTTGGAATTCTCAATTCCAATGTAAACACCATTATCATCAAGATCACTAGTCTTGGTATTTAGCCACTATAAAATTGCTGCTAACCAATTAGTTACTGTTGGGAAATTCTAGTTCTTGGACTTCCTAGAGTCCAAGTTGTGTAATAATACTGTAATCCCAAAATTGCACACTGAGGTTCGCCCTTATTTCTCACCCTGTTAACTTCCTTGTATCTTAGCTCAATTTAAATTCCCTGTAAAATTGTTACTTTTTTGCCTGAGCGAAAGCAAATTTTAAATACCACATTACAACATATTACACTGGGGTAAGCATTCAACGGGCACGATGGAAAATTCTGAAACTGTCCTGGACATAGACATAAAATGGTTGCCACTGGTGGGCGTAACTAGTCAGAAAGGACTGATACCCTGTCCAGAGGCATTTATGGAAAGAAAGGATGGCAGTGGCTAGAGGCGCTCACTCTGCTTTGAAGCAATCTGATTTATTTTTCAATTTATATCCTGCCTTTTTTCCTACAAAGGGCTCAAGCCAGCTTACATCTCCTCCATCTTATCCCCACAACAACAACCCTGTGAGGTAGATTGGGCTGAGAGTCTGTGACTGGCCCAAAGTCACCCAGTTGGCTCCATGGCTGAGCAGGGACTAGAACCCAGATTGTCTGAGTCCCAGTCCCATGCTCTTAATCACTACACCACACTGGCTCTCACAATGCCCATTTTATATATGCGTATGTGTGCATAAAATTTTGAGGAATTAGTGCCTTGGTGTGCACCAAAGTTTTGGGACGCTTTGTGCCTGTAGGATCCACATTGCCTAAAAATGTGCTTAATTTCAAGCTATGATTGATGCTTTATACTAGTTACAGAGCAACAGAAGAGTAACACCCTCCCTCAAAATGGCCACACTGGATGACATGTTGCTTTTGCAATTACGTGAAGACTGCAATCTTCTACCTACTTTTCTCCTTACTACTAGGAGAATAACAATGCGTTTACAGGAAGAAATTTTACTCAGGTCTTTTTTACTGCCTTCCAGACTTCGGCTACCTAAGGTCTCAGGATGACTTTAGTACCCTATTTTAGATCTTATATTTTCCAGTTGCAGGTGGATCAGAAGAGAGGCAGGGTTTCCGCTCTTTCTAATGTAGGCTGCCTGAACTCAGTTCTTCTTCCACAAATTTGAGTTACCATCTAAACATTTCCATTCAATGTCTATTTTTCCAGCTCAGGTCTTCTTAATAAATCTTCATCATCATGTCTACTGGACACTTCACTAAAAAATCAACTCAGTGCTAGTGTTCCCATTTGAAAAGAAGGTTAGAATAAAAATGGTCATGTTCTTTCATAGCTATTTCAGCTACATGAAATTTTAAAAGGAAACACAATAATGGCAAAATATGTTTCTGTGAATGGAAGAATGTAAAATAGAAGTGTATATTTTAAAATAATTTTGACAAAGCAAGCTTTTTGTGGACAAATTTAGGGGACATGGAATATAAGATTGTAAATAATGATGGGGATGTTTGAACAGAACAGATCAATATTTTCTTATACAGACTCATTTATTGTTATTACACAATATTTAGACAATATTTTCAATACCTAACATGAATCTAAAAGTAACAGCATCAACAAATACATACTTGTATCTAAAAGGTATTTTTTTAAAAACAAACCAAAACACCACATATGATTTTAAAATTAAAGCATAAAATTAAAATAATAATGTAAATGGAGAACATGGTATTTAAGAAGAGTTATATGGAGTTCTAACAGAAAAAACACACTGTTACAAGACTATGGTCCCTGTTAAACAATGCTTCCGTGCAGTAGTATTCAAACAAAGCAAATTTAAACAGCAATTTTCTTGGCAGTTGTGCTTAAATTTCATCAATGAATACTTCTAAACATATGTTTATGATACAATCTTGTAAGTTCCTGTAATTTTTAGTTTTCTATAATAGAGACACTCAGAGAAGCAGCAACATTCAACTGTTGACAATTCAACACAAAAAGCACATAATGTCTTAACTGCTATCATCATCATCACTATCACTAATATGACACATAGTCCATTTTCTGTAGGCCTGTCTTTTCTGCAAGCATGGTAAGAGAGGAGAGAAGCAGAAGGGTTAGTTGCAACTAGAAAGCTTAGTTATTTTTAAAAATGCACAAAAATAAAAAAAGAAGAGCTATAACTTTTGAATTTTAATGTACATAATATCTGACTAGTGCTACTGTAGCTATGTATTATACCAAGCACCAAAGTAAGTCCAAGTTTGTGTGTTCTATAAATGTTTACAAAACCTCCAAACTTTTGCACAAAAGACTTTTACAAAGATAATTAATCTGGATGAGTTTAAACACTACAAAAGCACAACTGGACCATAGCTCCTACTTAATACAATCTATTCCACTTGCATTTTCTATGTTTAGACTGACTGAATTTATGTTTAATAAGCTAATGTATAAAATAGATAACCTGAAATCCAGACAGCTTTGCACTGACCTACACACACACAGATTTGTTTCCTTCCTTGGAATACATATGCAAGTCACTGGAGGCAGAAGAGCTCAGTATATCAAAATCCCTGTGCTCATGAACATGTCCAGCACTAAAATTTTAAATTTGAAAATAAATCTGAACAGTTTATTTGAAGTTCATAGCAAGTTCTTACCAAGTCTGTAACTGATAAAAATAAGAAGAAAGGTGGTATATTTATTCCCTGGGAAATTATGTATGGAAAGAATGTTTTCTAAAAAAAATAGTTCACTAGAAATCAAAATAAGTCTGCAACATAGTATTTTTTCAGTTCAATTAAATGTTTGTACTTTCTTCAATTTTTCAAGTTTTCAATGACTCAACAATGGTCACTCCTTAAAATGTACCAGTTGTGAATCCCTCTGCTAAATTATTTGTAAATTCTCTCACTTCTTATGACTGGTTTCCTATCTTGCTGTGTAACATAACTAACCATGTTGTGAGCGGGTTATCCACAGCATCATGCCACATGGTGACACTGTTCAAATATACTAATAAAAGTGTAAGATAAAGAAAGAATAACTAAAAGTGTAAGGTAAAGAAAGAGGGTGAGGTTCATCCTCTCTGACAGCATGTTTTCTGGTTTTAGGTTAACAAAAAACTCTAGCCATTTGAGTTATCAGAGTTACAAGGAAGGAATATTGCTCAGTCCTGGTTACTTGTCAGGTAGGAAAGATTGCCAAGACTGAGTCTAATTGTCCATGCCTCCAGTTCTAAGAGATTACCAACAGACTAAACATAAATGTTCTTCATAGCACAACACCTATTACTGCTAAGACTAGTGTCCCCCTCTTGCTTCCACAAGCTGTGTCAAAATCACAGATCTGTTTCAGAGTATGTCGTTCCCTGCTTACCACTTTGTAGCACCATCAACTACAGTAAAACTGTTTATGAAAGGCTTTATCTGAACATACTCACCTGAAACAATTCCAAACAATTTGTTAATGGAGCAAAAACTACATTCATGCAAGCAATATCTCTAGTCTGATTTGTGCAGTCATGTTTAGATAGCTGGGTGTGAACTGAAAGACTGTGGTGTGTTTCCCTTTAGGCCCATGAAGCAACAGCTGTGCAGTATGTTGAAAACACTTATTTTCTCTACAATTACAAAGTTTCAGTTCAACTTTTAAAAAATGTATTTGAAGTATTTAAAGTACTATTTAAAGGATGGGCACACTGCTCTCAGTCAAAATATCTTTTCTGACTTATCAAGCAAAAAAAGAAAAATGGTTAGAATAGACACATATTATTAAATGTATTTCTCACTTCAGAGTCAAACCATGCATTGCATTTTTTCAGTGAACAAAGCAGAAGCAAAGTCCTCTATAAATACAAAGACTATAAACTCTGTAAACTCACGTATTACTCATTGCCCTCAATACTTTCAAGTGGAATCCATTAACACCATAAACTCCTTCCTATATTTTTATTTGAACATTATTCCTGCTAAATGCAAGTCAGCAATGAAATATGGCACTAAAGAATTAGGTAGTGATTTTATAGCATGTAAGAGAAATAGTCTTAAAATAAAAAATAAAATGTCTATGTGATATTTTAAGTTAAAATTTACAATCTCTAGTTTTATAAAAATTCTGAAAAGAGTTAGAATAAATCTGAATAAATCTACTTTTTCATATCCAAGGTTATCTGCCTTTGTTCCTTTTCTTTTCATTAAGGTACCTGTATGTTTCATATAGATAAGGCTTTAGAAACATACAAATTTTGTTGTTGGTTTTACAGTGACTAGAAGACTTCATGACCCGGTCTGCATGATCAAACCAGCCCTCATGGTGGGCTTCAGAGTGTGCTGAATGCCATTTTGAATCTGCAAGCTTTGGAAGATGTGTGCTGTACTTCATTGTGTCCTGTAACTCCAGTAAGTATGGGTTAAACAATACTCCTATAACTGTAGAACAACCCATTAATTTAACTCATGGTGGTTTAGTTTAAGATATGTTTAATTAACCTGCCCCTTTCTTTATGTTTCTTTCTCTCTCTATAGATCTATATTTAAAAAGCAACAATTAAAAATATGGAATTTATCCACACACACACCAAACTTTAGACATTTTCAAATTATCCCAAATGTAATTAAACTCTTTGTCTGGTATATTAAGAGTGCCAGACAAGAGTTTTAAAGAACTGAAATCTGCAAATTGCTGATATATTTTTACATTCTTTCCAAGCAAAGATATTCCAGCTATTTAGTTAACTTGCTAACTACATTTCTAATGGATATTTTTTTAATACAGACAATCCATAGGATTGTGCCTTAAAATAGCTTACTTCCAATTTCTAAATATATAAAGAACCACATTTTTTGTGTCTTGAAATCAAAAATCTTTCATTAACCTAATAAAAGCAATTGTATAAGGACTATGTTTTATAAAAATTAAGTGGAGGTTACATATATGGGGCCTATAGAAATGTGTATCCACAGATCAATGCACAGACACACAGTTCTGTGCTTGTAGAAATTATACTAACAGTACAAATCAAGATGTGTTTATGAGTTATCCCCTCTAAATTGCAGAAGATCACATATTTTCATGTTTAAACATTTCTGATTAAAAGAAAAGTTAATAAAATATATAAATGATCAAAACTGAAAATAAAAGTTTTTATTCATAACACTAACAGGAAGATTATCATATTCAACTGATTCAATTTACTAAAGATTAAAATATTGCAGAATGCTTAAATAGAGGTAATTATTCATAATTCTAGAAAAATAAAAATATAGTAAAATAAATAGCTTATATCATAACATAGCCCTTTGAGGGTTTACGTTCTTCACCTGTAACATTTGACTTCCAGCACCATCTCTTAATCTGTATGGTCGTATAACTCCGTCCTCACTAAAGAAGCGGGGAGGACGTAGGCTCATGACATCTTCAGAAGTATTTGTGACCCTGAAAAAATCCATTAAAGAATTCTGCATTACTTAGGGGTAAAATTAATATTTGCATGAATATTCTAAAAGATTAAACTATTCTACACTTCTCAATACAATGTTAGATAGATGTTAATTATCTGAACATGTTCCCTGGGTTCAGTGCTGCTCACTGTCTGTTAATAATATATCAACAATGATGATTTTATTTTAAAACATTTAAGGAAAGATACTATGCAACAAGTAATTCACTTTATGACATTTACAGTACTGATTTAAATTATTGTGATATTCTGTGCATTTACTATGTAAATTATGCTCACTAGCAATCAACTGAAAGTGAGTTTGGCATAGAAAGTAAGAACAATATGTATTTGTGTTAATACAGACTTGGAGAAAGAGTTTACAATTTTAATAAGAAATGATTTGTATCAAAGTATTATTGCCTTTTAATTCCCTGAAAAGTGCTGCTGGCCATGTCTATTATTCCTCCAGTGGGTCTTGCCACTGCTCCCACTAATCCCTTTCCAACACCTTTGAAAAAACCTGCTGCTCCTTCCTTCTGGGCACCTGGAAATAAATGCATAAATACATAAATGAGAGAAAAAGAATGACTTAAAGAATATAAAAATACCAAAGGCCTATCTAATCCACATTTTGTCCTCACAATGGCCACCCAAATGCTTATGAGAAGTCCACAAGCAGGACCAAAGCACAATAGTATGCATTAATTCAAGTTCCACCAAGTGGTGTTCAGGGCAAAATTCTTTGGAAACTGGAGTTTATAGTCTATAACCTAGTAAATACCTAGTACCTACGGGTAACTTATCCTTCATTAACTTTTCTAATCCTATTTTAATGCTGTCCAAGTTGGTAGCCATTCCTACATCTTGTTCTAGCAAATTCTACCTCTTATCTGTGCACTATGTCATGAGAAATACTTCCATTTATATGTCTTGAAACTCCCACCATTCAGTTTCCCTTAACTGCTTTTTTACATGCCTCCTTACTTGTTTTCTTTCTGAGCTCAAATACCTCAAACATTGTATGCCTTATAAGGCAGTTATGCCAGTCATTATCAGTTTCATTTCCTCCTTTTACTCTTTTTCCAGCTTTAAGCCATGCTTTGAGGTTGGTTAACTGAAATGTGCACAATATTCTAGGTGTGATTGTATCACAGATTTGTATGAAGCTGTTATAATACTGCCAGTTCTGCTTTCAATTCCTTCCCTAATGCTACCTAAAACGGAATTTGCTTTTTTCACACGGTGGAAATATATTTTTATTGAGATAACTATAAACTTTGCCCTTCTCCCCAACCCTGCTTAGTCACACTAGCTCAGACCCCATGAGGATATATATGAAATTAGGATTCTCCCCTGCCATGTTTACATTGAATTACATCTTCAATTTTGATGCCCTTACCTCCAGTATGGAAAAGTCCTTTTGGAGCTCTTTACTGCATCTGTTCACATACCGTAACAAATCACTACAGCTTTATTTATGCAGGAGCTCTTAGGTCATGCCAGATGCTTGAGGATATCTTTTTGCCTGGTGCTCATGAGTGTCCATCTTGCCATGGCTTGTTGTGATATTTGAATACAGGCAAGCAAAGGTTATTTGAGGGTAAGACCACCCTCAGATAACCCTATAAAAAGGCACATGTTATTTGAGGCTTGTCACCGAGACTTAGATTGCACTGTACATCAAGCCACGGCAAACCAGGAACCATACAAAGAATGGTGGCCACAGGTGCCCAGTACAACACAAGAGTCTCTATGAGAGAATTAAGCCAAAGTGGGATATTGTGTCATGCAAATCAGCTCTCTATCTTTTTCATTTATTTAACAACCCTAAATAATGTTCTGTTGACCAAGTTAACCAAGTAAAAAAGAAACAAATTAAAATTTAGAAAATATTTTGGAAACAACAACCACCACAGAAAACAGTTGAGCTGAAAATGATTTTACACATTCTTTCAGTTTGAAAGAAGACCTGGGGGGGGGGGGTGGAGAAAATTTCATAAAACTTACTCTAATTTTCTTTAGGCATGTCTAAAGCCAAATCAGACTGAAGACTGTCTAGAATTTGGGGATGATGGAACAGAGAAAAATGTTTCCTTGCAGCAGGGAACATGATAAATGCTTTAAGGGAATGAACATGTGTAAGACTCACCACAACATTTTCATAAGTATTGCCAAATTGCAGCCTGAAAAAGAGGCAGTCATGAAGGGAAACTATTCTGGCTTACTCCTAATTCAAATTAGGAAACACCTTGTAAAAATTGTAAACATACAACACTTGTTCTAGTTTGATTCATTTATCTGCTGCAGAGGAAGCATGATTCATAAATTATTACATACAATCTACATGAGATAAAGTTAAAAAATAGCGCCTTTCTTAACAAATATTAGCTTTATGAGAAACAAACTGAAGATTTAGTAGAGACTGAAGTACCTCTTATCGGCTTTGTAACTATTCCTGTTATTCCACTGACAAAACCCTGAAAGTTAAAGCAGAAAGATAACACAATTTTAATTTTTAAGTGGATTTCATACTTTTATCAGTATGATCTAAGGTTATAAAGCTAATAATTTAAAGTAATTGCTTTATTCTTTAATCTTTGAAGAATAAAGATTTATTTTATTTATACTTCCTATATTTACACTCTAAAATTCTGGTCAACATTTACACCTTTACTATTTAAAATGAAATGAAAGAGTAAATGAAAGAAATAAAAAAAGCAAACAAAAGCTATTATAGCTTGTGAATGCATCTCTGCTATCTATTAGAGATATAGTAGCCTGGAGGCCATCTTAAATATTTAAATATTTATGTGGCATTTCTTACAGATACTAAGCCTTTTCCTCCACGAGTGATACCCTCTTTGAGGCCTGCAGGTTGCCTATTCATGGCTTCCCGTCGCTTCTGCTGATAGTCTTCATCCATAGTTATTGCTGCTACCCCTTTAGCCATAGCACCAGTTATTCTTGATGCAGCACCAGCCAATCCACCTATGACCACAAGACATTTTATGAAAAAATTGCAATATTTGAAAAAATAAACATGTTGATTACTTGTAATTTTAAACTACATTTACATGAAATAGTTGCTTACCAACAGCACCACCCACTAGGGCTTTAAGTCCCAGTGCCATTCCCTCTATGAACTCTTCTGGGCCTTGGATAGCCCCCTGAGGAGAAGGCAAAAGGAAAATATAAAAACACTGATCTAAGGGATAACAGCACAATGGCCAATTCTTATCTTCCAAGCAAAGAGACTGTCTCCCAGTTGACAAAAAAGGACAGGAGCATACCAATATTTAGAATTAGTGGATGGTGCCTGGAAGGGAGAAAAACATGTTCAATTTACAGGAATTCTTAATTGACTTTTCAATGGAAAGATGATCCAATGGAAGAAAGAGATTATTTTCTTTCTAGACTCCCCATTCTTAGTCTGGGTCAGCAATGACTTAACAATAAAAATAGTTTTTTTTCTCTTGATCCTCTTATCTAGAAATGCACAGATAGCACTGGAAAGCATGTGATAGAATTTCCTTCTGCTAACATCCAGATTGTATGCTCCAAGAGTTCAGTCCCTCTAGTTTATTGCTATGTCCCCTTAATTATGATGAATAATTAACAGCAGTATCAGCTGAAGATCTTCCACTCTTGGAAAGGAGAGATTGTATGTTCTAAGACCAGACTAAGACACTACCTAAAGTGACTCCACAACAAAAAGAAGATACATCCAAGCAAGAGATACTTTAAGTCATGGGAGAGCATCTATCTGAATTGCTTTATGAGAATTAGGAACACAACTACTGACACATCTGAAAACAATTGAATCTGAAGCCTTATACAGCCAGAATGCTGCCATAATTTTTCTGCTCTCACTTGGCTGATGCATTTGAAAACTCAGTGATACTGTATATATGAACAAAAGAAGCTATTGTGGCTTAAATAAACCACAGTGGCTTTTTGTAAATTGCAGAGCATCCTAAGCACAATCTGCATAATTGCTGCCTGGCCATAGTTTATTGTGTTATTTGAAGATGTGCAGCAGTATAAGTAGGATTCTATAATCCTCCAGCAAGTCACGTCTAGTTTGATATGAATGATGATAAACCACAAATGGGCCATGATTGTGCCACTTATGCTTGGCATGGCCATAACTCACAAAAAGGCACTGGCCTGTTTTGATTTTGTGGATTGGCTAGCAATATTTCTGCATTTTTTGCAGAACTGAATGTGAAGTAAAATTTTTATTACACAGAAAGCATTCAAATGCATGTACAGCAAGTCACACATTCAGCTTAATAAAAACCAGAGGATAAGCTCACCTGATATGGTTCATAAAAGAATGCTTCAACTCCTTCAGACAAATCCCTTATGAATCCAAATGGATTGCCCAAAACATCCAGGCCAAGAATAAGAACATACATTTGCTTAATAGCCTAAAATGAAAATAGTTTAAAATAATCATGATTATGAAAACTAAAAAAAAAACTTTTAAAATACCACACAAGCTCTGTGAACCTGTCTGCACAGTTACTTGCATTGTGCTGGATCCAGGCACACCTTTCAGAGGTGCTCCTTCCATCTGTTCAGTGGAAGCTCTAGCTGAGTGAATGGGAGTGGGAGAGGTAATTTCTGCCAATCAACCCTCCCACTATGTCCTGAAAAACTTCCCCAGAAGGTTGGGAGACCTTCTAGACCAGTACGGAAGGTGAATCTATTTGCCTTCTCCTGTTTTTAAGAGTTGGGATTTGCCTTACCATTTGTCCCTCATTTATTTTTCTAATGGAGGATCTGATATATACTGACTGCAGGCAGGCTAGGTTGCGTCTAGGTGTCTAGGTTAATTTGCCTAAGGCTGATCCCTGGGGGTCAGAAGATGGAGGATGACATGAAAGTGGGTGTGTTTTCTTTCTCTGCATTCTTAAACATATGCAGAAATATCATTTAATACCTCACTAACACTTTGAATTAACTGAACATTCACGTTAGCCTGGGAATTCCATACATTTGACTAAACAGGGTCTCAGGATCATGTCTCAGGAAAAGAAAAATGCCTATGAAGGTGAATGAAGAGACATTCATTCACTGTTGATCATGTTAGGGGCAGTTAGTACAGTAATACTTCGGTTCACAAATGCTTCTGTTCATGAACAATTCGGTTCTCAAACAGAAAGTTCAGTAAAATTTTGCTTCCATTCGCGAACTCTGCATCGGGTGACGAACACAATTGCGGCCATCTTCTCCGCACAAACATGATTGTGGCCATTTTCCTCACACCACGACCACGTGTCGGAGCGTATTCAAGCAGGCCGCATTCATGTTCATGCAGGGCAGATGGCCACAATTGTGTTTTCATGAACAAAAACATGGCCATCTTCCCTGCTCTGACAGGTGGTTGTGGCTTCCACTAGCTGAGATCGTGGTCGCAGACTCTCCCTCCAAACAATAACCTCCTCCCACCCACCTTCCCGTCCTCCATGCCAGAAGCAAGGTTAGTGTTCTCTCTCTTCATACTGTACTGCACTGTACTTTGTTTCATATTTTTGTGGTTAAAAAAAATAAATAAATTTACATATGGTTCAGAACAGAGTAACCTTATTTACACTAAAACTTATGGGGAAATTTGACTCGGTTCGCGACCAGAATCGTGGAACAAATTAAGTTCATGAACCAAGGTACTACTGTACAAGGAACTAAGCAAAAAAAATTTCTCTCTATCACCATCTGGTGGTCTCTGGAAGAAGTGTCTTCATCAAGCAGAGGCTACAGTCAGTAAAATCTAGAACACATTTGTTACAGCTTGGAAAACCACTGCCTGGTTGTTTGGTGCATGGAAGAAGACTTGGGCTTTGTACCGGGTCCAATAATCTGGTCCTGTTTCTGAAAGATATTAGTATTTCCTGTATCTGGGAAGGATACTATTTTATCCTTTTCAGCTACCTTTTTCTGACTCATCTCAAGATGCTGGCACATCACTGGAACTTCTGGAACTCCTTTTTAAGTTTGGTGAAACTGGGAGGGCTGCTGCCTGTGTGCAAATCTCTTATATGCCTCCCCTTGATTTTGTAGGCTTTGCACCTGGATGTTCTCCTGACAATGCTACTGAAGCCAAGACAAGAAGGATAAGACAGAAGGATCCCCCTTTTTAACATGAAGAGGGAGGGAAGGCTCAGTAAAAAGATAAAGATAAGGAAGGTAAATGAAGAAGGATGGTAATAATTAGAAAAGTTTTGTTAGGTCATATTTTCTCTAAAGAAATAAATGATCCTTAGCAGGATCCCAAGCTAAGGAAGGAATGAACTGGGAAGGACTACTCTGAGAATGCAAAAACATTAAAAAATTTTAAGTTACATGTTCCCTGCCTCTTGAGCTGGTGGCAGGAGTAAAACCCAGACTGGAGACTGTTAAACACTGGAGAAACACAGCTTCTAGATATTTTGCTATTTACCCTTCACCCTTCTCCTTCCTGCATAAAGAAGAAGGAACATGCTTTTGATAAGTTAGAACTGTCAACATGAGCTATCCAGAAAGTTTTGCTGTCACCTCTAATTTGGTGTCATTTGCTCTCAGAGGTGTCACCGTATCTGCTAACTATAGAATCTTTGGCTGGGTGAACAGAAAAGAAAGGTTTGGGGCTAGTCAGGTTTGGGTTGGGCCAGGGACCCTGGTAGTTTGGGATGGGGAGAGGCTGGGCAGGTTAGTTGTCTTGCATTTAGTTTATTTATTGGTGGGAATCTTTTCTCTCTTCTGAGTGAGTCAGGCATTTTTTGCATTAGGGCTCCTTTTTAACAACACAGCATCCTATTTTAGATTTGATATTTATATTATATTTTAACTTGGTATGGGAGTGAGGGGGTGCCCCCATAGGGGTGGTTATGGGCAGGGGAAGGTATGGCACTGGGGATTTAACAGGTTACTGCAGAAGAAGGGGGGAGATGGTTAGAATCTGTCCCCTCTTCTGGTTTTTCCCCCAGCCAGGTACCAGACAGTGATATCAACCGGCCCTCAGACTTGGTGCTGCTGCTGCTGAATGCCACGTCAGTCCAAAATAAAACATCCCTCATCCATGATTTAATCGTGGATGAGGGGGCTGACCTGGCATGTATCACAGAGACCTGAGCAGGAGAAGAGTGGGGTGTGGTGCTCACCCAGTTGTGCCCGCCCGGTATCTGGTACAGCACTGAACCCTCCTAGAGGGAAGGGGGGGGTGTGGCCCTAATGTGCAGAGATTCAGTCTCCCTCATGGGGCTTCCTGTCCCTTCAAGGCTGGGTCTTGAGTGTCTACACTTGGTGTTGGGTGATCGAGACAGACTCGGGATTCTGTTGGTGTACCATACACCCTTCTGCCCAACAGACTCCCTGCCTGAGCCGACAGAGATAGTCTCGGACATGGTGTTGAGAACTCCCAAGATGCTGGTCCTGGGGGACTTCCATACTGAGACTGTTCTGACTGGGGCAGCTCAGGACTTCATGGCTGCCATGATTACCATGGGGCTGTCTGAACATGTCACTGGCCCAACACACGAATGAGGCCACACTCTGGACCTGGTCTTTTTGACAGGGCAGGAAGATGGTGATCTGGAAGTGAGGGATTTGATGTTAATCCCTTTGTCATGGTCAGATCACATCCTCATGAGGTTTGAACTTGAGGCCAGTTTTCCCCTCCAAAAGTGTGTGGACCCCATGAAAATGGTCTGTCCCTGAAGTCTTATGGATCCTGATGGATTCCTGAGGGTTCTGGGGGAATTTCTGGTTGATAGGACTGGTGCTCTTGTCGATGTCCTGGTTGATTTGTGGAATGGAGAAATGACCCAGGTGACTGACAGAATTGCTCCTAAGCATCCTTGGCAGCTTACTGTGACAACTTTGCCCAGAGAGGTCACCCAGAGGTTTGGGTTGTGGAGTCACCAGTACAATGATGACGCCCAACTCTACTTCTCTTTTACATCTAATCCAGGTGAGGCAGTGGCTGTCCTTAACTGGTGCCTGGCTGGGGTGATGGACTGGATGAGGGCCAATAAACTGAGGCTTAATCCAAAAAGGTTGGAGGTCCTACTGGAAGGTGGTTCAGACTCCCAGGTAGGTGTTTCTAATCCTGTTCTTGATGGGGCTGTACTTCCCCTAAAGAACAGGGTGCACAGTTTGGGAGTGCTCTTCAACCTGGAGCTGTCCCTGGAATTCCAGGTGACGGTCATGGCGAGGAGTGCTTTCCTTCAGCTTCAGCTGATTTATCGGCTGTGTCCCTATCTGGATGAGCAGTGCCTGCCAACAGTGACCCATGCACTGGTAACTTCCCAATTGGACAACTGTAATGCGCTCTACATGGGGCTGCCCTTGAAGATGGTCTGGACACTTCAGTTGGCTCAGAACAGAGCTGCCAGTTTGTTATGTGTGAAGAGATTGTCTGATATTGGAAAAAAAACTTGCAGCTATTTTGTGTGCCTGCCTGCCTAACCACTCTTTCTGAATTTCTTATTCTTACTACAAAAACATAGAGAGCAATGGGCTATGGGGCAGTGTAAAAATGTAATAATTAAACAAATGCTTATCAATAGGCAACTATAATTGCAACAGTTTTCTTGAGTGCTGTTATTCATTACTAAGGAGAAAGAGAGAGATGAAAAAAGTGTCACAAAGCATTTAATACCTAAATAAAACCATATTTAGTAGTCAACTGGCACAACCTGAAACCAGCATGTTAGGTCAAGCCAATTTTAGTGCCATACAGTGCAGCCCTTTGTTAAGATCTATGCAGCAAGATGTGCAAACTGTATAGATGGGCTGATTTGTCTTTTTCTTTAGTTCTAACACCTTTAAAATAATATTTCCATAATAAAATTCCCAGGGACATATCTAAGACCAACAAACTGGAATTGTGACTATACTATACTATGTAAGATATGAGTGACCATGTTAAAGGATATGAGCTACCACGCTGGAAGCTTTGCTTTTCATTCCAGCAGTCGCTTCACTCATGTAATTAAGGGTGCTGAAAGTTTTGAGCAAGCACTATACAACGTCGAGAAGACACAAAAGCAAACAGGTTCAGCTACAGAGAAGGAATGATCAAGTGGTTCACTCATATTAGTTCATACTGACCTGCTTTGAATAATGCATAATAACTGCCCACTGTAGTTGCTGCGTGGTACAGAAGTGGTAGTTAAGCTCAAAGAATGCCAACCTAGAAGACGTAAGTCACATAAAGACAATATATAATATAAACTACATGTAAATATTAACAAGAAATAAAATGCAATAATCTAATTAAAATTTGTATATGTACTTAAGTACAACATCCTGCACATCTGTGAGCGTTGCCCCAATACTCTTTAATAAGAGGTTGACAGACTGAACTGGAATCAGTTCCTTAGATCTCTCTTCCTTGTTGCTATCTTCTCCACCAGCACTGAGTGAAAAACTTAAGTGTAACTGAAAGGGAAAAAATTAAAATGATACCATGCAATTGCTTAAAAGCATTTTGGTTGCCACTGTAACTCCACTAGTAAACAGTATTAACTTACGCGCGATAAGAATGCTTACCACTGATATTGTAAAAAAAATAATCAGCTAATAAACAAATGCTCTAAGTTGACCTAATATCACAGAGGCACTGGTCAATTTACTGAATTGCACAAATGTTGATAATGCATTAAGATAATGGAATAGAAGAAGCCTGAAATAGAGGAAGCCTGTGAATTCTTGAAGGAATGGATTCCAACAGTGTTTGTCCCAACCCTAATGAACAATATCTTTCCTTTTTCTGCCTGGCTGTGTATATTTAAACATGCAAACACTTTAAACATAAACACTTATGACATGCACATACCTTTATTGGAGAAATATGGAAATACTCATATAAACTGATTTGTGAAGTATCTGTTGATGATACATTCTTCAGCTCTTCCTGTACAGCTTCGACATCTTTTCTGAAAAGTTCTATCTGTGAATACATTAACAGCAAAACAGTAATTCTTAAAGCAAAAATGTATGCTAACAATTTTATAGCAAATATAACATGGAAATACATATAACAGGGATAATTCTCAAATGACTGATTTCAAAGGGATTATGGTGGGGGATTACGGCTCCTGGAAGATATACTATGGGGCTCTATTCAATCCCCCATTCTACATGTAACCACTGTGGAAACAAAATCTGGAGATGTGCACTTCAAATGACACCAATAATCAAATGGCACCCAGCTCTATACCTCCTCTTTATCAAATCTAGGAGAAGCAGCAGCCACTCTGAATCAACCCCTGGGAACGGTAATAATTGGAAGAGGGTCAATAAACTGAGACCCAATTCAGATAAGAAAGAACTAGTGGTTGGTTTATCTGCCTGGCTAAATGATCTTCCTGTTCTAAAGAGAGTTGTAGTCCTGGTAAAGGATTGTGTTTGTAACTTAGGAGTGCTTCTGGATCAAAATTGTACCACTTGGTCCACTTATGCTGGATCAATTTAAGCTGATATACCAATTGCATCCTTGCCTAGCCATAGATAGTTATCCATGATGTAGTAATCTATAATAATAGATTATTTTTTTAAAAAATTATCATCTATATGGAGCAACTTTTCCATATCTTATTTTAACCACCACCTTGTACATAATATGCAATTCAGTATGGAAAACTTAGAAGTGATACATGTTCTGGTTTGACATTTCTTTATTCAGTTGAAAATAACCTTTATGTATTAGGAGTTCATACCTCTTGGTCTCTAGGCACTTCATTAGCAGGTACAAAGAAATCAACCAATGCATAAAGAAAACCAAGATCTAATCGGAGATCCATCTCTTGAATTAGAACTTTAAAATACCTGAAATAAAGTTTTAAAAAACCATTCAACAGTAGAAGTATATTTTTGCAACAATTCCAAAGTAAAGATCAATAAGCCTTCTTGATGTTTTGGCTTATAACTTCCACCAGCCTTACTCAAGCTTAGCTAATGGTGAGGGATCATGGGAAATACAGGCCAAAATGTATGGAGGACCACAAGTTGCCAACTCTACTACTAAAGGCAGCCAAAAAATATCAAACACATGAAAGATTGCAAGCCTATATTGCCTAACTTGGTTTCCTTTTTATTGGACTCAGTGGGACTTACTTCAGAGTACACATGCCTAAAATTGCACTACAGTATCTTTTACAAAAGATTAATTTGATTTTTTTACAGGTTAAATTTTTTTAACAACACAATTCCCAGCAGGAAGTACCAGCCTTTTCAATAAGGCTTATTCTTAGGGAAACCATGCTCCTGATTGTTACTTTAGGGGAGAATTCAATGGAGTATTTATGGCCCAATGATTCCCTTTTAGTTTGCCAATTCTCTTCTACAAATAGAGGGTCTTTCAAATTCTGTTGCATTACCAAGACACAACAATTATGCAAGGAAGCATTAGCACTTCTTAGAGAAAGTCCCACAACAGGCATAAATGCTAATTTAGATTGTTCTGAAAGCACTCTACTGATATGGTACAAGTGATGGGGGCTGCTTGTGCATCCAAACATATGGAATAAGAGAACTGGAATAAGAGAACTTGCAGTGGCAAAAGTCAGTTGGATTCTGCGCTTAGTTATTAAATTATTTTCTTGTCTTAATAAAATATGATGTTAAAATACAGAATGTGTTGAACTATTACTATTAATACATTTGTATCTTGCCTTTTTTCCTCTTGTGAGGAATCCAACATGGCTTACATAGTTCTCCTCCACTCCATTTTTATCTCTACAACAACTCTGTGAGGAAGGTTACTCTGAAAGTTAACTTACTGTAAAGTTACCTAGTGAGCACCATGGTTGAGTGGGACTAGATCCTCAATTTCCTGGATCCCTTATCCAACACACTAACTACCACACTGCACTAGCTCTTCATGACACATCTTGAGATAGAAACACCAGCAACTTTAGAAAGAATGTGTACCTCCAATTTGCTAATCTAGAATGGGAAATCCAGTGTTTCTGTGATAGCTTTTACTATACCAGAAGGCTCTTTGTGTCTGAAATCTGGGGCACTGAAGGGAAATGACTATCTCAGTAGTTAAAATAGCATAGTTGTCTTTCCATTGAAAAAGATAGTGAAACGGCAACATTTCTTCCTCCGTAGTAAAATTTCTCATTCAATTATTCAACTGTCACCAAACATGTTCAGAAAATCCTTAAAGGACAGTTAACCAAATATGCATTACTAAATATACATATATATAATCAATCTTTAAATGACTTATAACAAATTTCACTTAAATATGGTTATATATGGATATGATTAATGTTCATAAAATGAATACTATAAGTGGCCTTTTTACCTGCTATTGCTTGCAACCTAGTATCAAACATGTTTACTAGAAAAATGGCTCACTGATATAATGTAAGCAAGCTTCATATTTCGATCTAGAAAGATGCAGTCCAATCTTATGCATGTTTCTTTAGAAGTTTCACTAACCAAATGGAGTAAGAAGGATTCTTTTAAGATGGAAAAAAGAATATATACTTACTTTATACGTGATATTTGAGAATGCCCTGCAGTTCTCATGACAATACTGACATCAGTAAATGGTTTGGGTTCTATGAAAATTCCAAACAAAATACAGGTGAGCACAGGATTAGCACATATTGAAGCAAGACAGAATTTCTTTTCACATGTAAAGTACAATCTGAGCACATTTGCTAAGGTGATAATGGGAAGAGCTGGACAAAATAATGTCCCAAGGTATTATATATATATGAAGCATATATGGGAGGAAATGAATTCAATTATTTAAATGATGAGTACATATCTATGGTATTAACAATATTATATCTAACAGATGCACACCAATTTGACAGTTTAAATAAGTTATGCCTAAATTACTTCCAGATACCGATTACATTAAGTGCATGGTTCTCAAAATGGGATTTAAGTTTCCACAGCGCACTTGCTTTAGGGCATTTTTTCAATATTCTAAATTATTACAGATGCAGAAAAACAAAAACCCTAACAAACCTGAATCCAAGGAGATGGACTTTGGAGGTTTAATAGGATAGAACACAAAGGGAAATATGGCTCCAGGGATCTGGTTTTGTACCTGATAAAGGCAATGACAGGATAATATGTTGCATATTAGATTTCTCTTTGCAAATGTTTTAGTTCCAACATTTGAATGAATATCCTATTTTGCACTACTGTGCTTCACACATTCTAACCTAACAGGTGTGGAGGAGGAAACAAATACAAATCTTTGACCTGTTGAAGCCAATAGGCCAGTTCACACCATCATTGTCAGAGGTCAGTATAGCTCATTTAAGGGCTGTGAGGTATCCCAGTGGCTTATTTGATTATTTAAACCATAACACACAAGGTGAGGAAGTCTTATGTGACGGTTAAAGAATGCTAACATAACCCTTGGGCTGATTTAGGGTTATGCAACAGTAGTTTAACCATTAGATAAGCCATCCTGACAGATATGCATCGCCCAGTAAGCCATGTGCTTACTCACCGTGGCTTGAATATTCAAAATGACAGCCAGCAAACACTGCAACCTAATATAACTAAAATAAGCCATGAATGGCTGCAGTGATCCTGTGAACCCAGTCAATAGATAATTTTCTAGTGGTAAAAAATTTAAGTTCTTGACTTTTACTCTATGCTAATTCTAATATTCATAACACAAACAACTCTTGGAACTTAACACATTTTACACAAACTACCATTTTCAAGAATATTTTCGGTCATTTGACCATTCTATATTAAAGAATGTTTTTATCTTTTAAATACCTCCAGAATGCTGATCTTTGGAATTATTATTGTTGCAGAGAAAAGCCTGAAATCCTAGCTGCATGGATTATACAATCGTAAAAATGTAATCCCAAAGACTTTTTGACTATTAATTGTAATTAACCCTGAGACATACCTGTATTCTATAAATTTGGACTCTGAAGGATGATTGATGTTCGGATGTACTGTACTGTACTTTTAAAGCTGGCAAAAAGCTTCTTCTTACTGGGATTTCATTTGGTTGCATTATTTTCATGTTATTACCAGTGGGAGTCAGGCAGACCTGTATTTTAAAATATCTAAATCTTAACCTTATGGCACATAAATCTTCCAACTAAATTTTTAGGGCACAATCAAGCCAGATTTATTTAAGTACATCAAGCATTTCTAAGTTCTACTGATTTCTGAGGAACATCAACAATAGAGCATTAAGAGCATTACAGCAATCCAGGAATATTTATTCAGAAATAATTCCCACTGAATTCAATGTGATTCACTCTTCACTACCAGTAATATACTCATGAGAAGGATATCCAGTTGAAGGACATGCTACACAGTTGCTTAATTTTGAGTAGCAAACTACCTTGAAAATGCTTTATTGTTCCAGGGGTTATTCAACCTATGATGGGCTGTTGTGAAACCAAACCGAAAAGACCAGTATCATTGTGGCCTGCAGGAAGTGGCTGCAGGAATGGCTGCCTCATGCAATTGCTAGTGATAACCTCTCCACTAGAACCTAAGCAGCAGTCTGAAATAGGTGTCACTGCTTTGCCACCATTTCCCCCTTTACTTTCTGCCATGAAATTTGTGTATATTTCTCTTCCATTTATTTCCCAACAATGAATTTTGCATGCATTTTCCAAATTTAAAAATGTACAGTTTGGACAGTTTGTTTTTTTAAAAACCAAATCTTTAGACAAGTAAGAATGGGACAAAACATATGACGCACCAGCACCAGCAGGACTAATGCCAACCCCATTGAACTAACTATTCCAGTTTTTTGTTAGAACTGTTAGGAAAACACAGCAAGTAACTGCTCCAAAGGAGGGACACAAAACTGTGTGTGTGTGGTGGTGAGGTTAATATCTCTGCTTTCTAAAGTAGCTGGAAACCTGGAAAAGTGTTGAAAATGTGAAGGGCACTGAGAAGTGCTACTTCCACAGCTGAAATCCAGGGGATTATGTGGTTAATGGTGAGATCTTGTCACCAACCTAATTTTGGTAGACATGCTTTTCTCCCTTTTAACTGACAGCTATGTCAATTGTGTGCAAATTAACTTATATGAAGTATCACACTGCTAGGTCCATGTTGCCCCCTTTTGACAGCTGAATCTTGCAAGGATTCTACTTTCTTACTTAGTTCCTAATGGGTCATATAAGGAACTACCAAAGTAGCAGCTAGAGCAGAGAGAGTGAATTGTGTGTTTGCAAGCTGATTTACTTGGAGACAGAACAGATGGTGTCAAGCAATCACAGAGCTCAGCAAAGCTTATCCAAAACAGATGAACTATAAAAATTATTTAAATACATCAAAAGCTGGAAACTAGCTAAGAAGGTCATTGGACAGTTGTACAAGTATGCTAAAGGAATACTAATGGAGGGCAAGGAGACTGCAGGGAAGCTGGATGAATTATTTGCTTCTGCTTGCACTGCAGAACATACAAGAAAGATAGCCATACTTGAATGGATATTTTCAAAAAGCTAGTCTGAGAAACTGAAGTGAATAGTGGTGACCAGAGATGAAGTTTTATACCTTTCTGAAAAAGTGAAAACTGAGAAATTAGGATATCCATCAATAAGCATTTAAAGCACTCAAATGAGAAATGGCTTCTCTTCCAGCAAATCTATGTAACTTGTCCCTGATGTCAACCTGATAGCAGGAGTCCTTTCATACTACTTGGCTAGGTCCAGTAGCCAAACATGGCAAAAGTTATCTCAGCCTCTTTGGGACAGGCTGCAGACAAAACAAAACCTAAGCACTGGGTTGGAAGAGTTTCATGCACAAGTCCTTGAAATATAAGCTTATACCCTTTATCTTTCTTCTCAAGCTCTGAATTGGCAGAAGATGAAGAACTCTTAGATTAGGATTTCTGCAGCTGGAAGCAGGTGGCAAAACCACTGCTCAGAGTCAGGAGAACTGCAACTTTTCAAAACTGATACTAATGCTGAAGCTAGCCTGTGGTCTTACAGACAGACAGACCAGAGGGAACTGCCGTCATGCCAGTTACCCTTCATTCTGAAGAGACGGACTCTGCTGTCAATAATCCTAACTGAACTAAAACTGAACAAAGTTATTAGGTGTGTTAGGGTTTGTTAGCCTTCAGCTGCAGTGTCTAGAGGGCCTACCACTTCATCCTTGCTTACAGCAGAGACAATGGTTTCTATGCACCTGTCTATGGTCTGACAAAGAAAATGTGGTAGCAGCTATGGTATTACTTTCATACCTCAAGCAGAGTATTTCTGAAAAAATGTCCACTGCACTATAAATGTCTCCCTGAGAGCAGTATAAATGCCCAGCTGCATACATGAACTAAAAATTTAAATCCCCAATGCAAATATACGTAAATGAACACTTAAAAACTGAAAAGAAATAAATACAGCAAGGATGCTGAACATCAGACTCACCCTCTGGGGTCTCCTAGACAGTGCTATCCCTTTGATCATTGGATGTTTTCTTGGCTTTTCCTCTATTCTAAAAACCTAAAATTCTTTCCCCAAACTAAGTTACTGACAATAAGAGCTTTAAATAAAAATATGATGGGATTATTGATAATTTTGGTCCATCCCCTTTTGTTTTTGTCCTTGCCTACCACTGGTATATGGCCCCAGAAGACCTCTGAAAATGAATGTGGCTTTGGGATGAAAGAGAACTGGCATGCCTATTTTAGAGGAAAATGCCTATTTTACTATTCTCTTGATAGTATGTCTATGGCAGTCAAGAAGAAACTGAGAAGAAAAGTGGGAGCAATACTCTTTTGACCATTTGTGCAGTGAAGGTTGGGCACAGTTCCCTTTAAAACATTAATATTGCTGTAGAAAGTTCTAAATGTTGTTCTGTGCAGGCTGTATATGTGGCAAACGTGAGTTAGGTTCATGGTACCTTTTCCATTTCAGACAGCATAAGAAAAATGAAGATTGTAAGTCTAGGCATAGTTACAACAGGTGAGACTTAATTCCACATAAATATTCATAGGATAAGGCTGTGAGTCTGCCAGTGACATGCAGGACACATGGCTGATGAAGGGAAAGGGAAAGATGGGCAAATACTACCTTCTTGTAGAAACATAAGGACTATTGCGTTAAAAGTTAAGTTACAGTTAATTTTTAACAGATTTTAAAAACCAAGCGAAACTTGATTACCGGAACATTATCTTCCAGCTCCACTATTTTATTTTCAGTGGGTGACTGATCGCAGTATTCATTAAATTCTTTTTCCAGCTTCTCAGTTTGCTTCACACTCAGTGGCCTCCATCTTGACTTTTTCTTCGGCTTTGTTTCCCAAATCACATCAGAACTTATCAACAAAATGAAGAATTAAAAGCAGAAACTATTTATGAAATATTTTCTAGTTCTCTATATGAACAAAACTAGAAAGCAAGAACTCAACAATTAAGCTTTATTAGATTACTAAGGTTATTTACCATTGCAAATTTAACTTTTTAAAATAACTCCGTTCCAAAATTGGAAAGTCCGAAAATTATTCTGCAATGATTAACCTACTAAACACAGTGAACTAACTAACTTGTCCACACTTTTAAATCCCATTCTTTTCAGTGGAAGAGTTAAGCATGTACCTAATTCTCTTCCATCAAAATGAATGGGAATTAAGCTGTAATGCTATAGACGTTTACTTGGCAGTAAGTCCCAATGAACTCAGTGGGACTTATTTTGGATTAGACAGTCATGAGACTATACTGTTAAAAATGCTCAATTTTTACTAAATAGTGCCCAATATGTGAGAGATTTATTTCCTAAAAATAAAATCTAGGTGAATTAGAACTGTCTATTAAACTGCTTGTTTAATCAATGTTTAATCATCTAGAAACAAATCCATTTGGATGGAATTCAATCAGACACTTATGTCTCTGCTGAAACTCTGACAGACTTCCAATCTCTGTCCACAAGCAGCTCCCATCACTTTAAGAACAAAGATGTAGTAACAACAGTTCTTTAAGAACACTTTCACTTTTACAGCAACTGGAACTGAATCCAAATCCAATTGAATGGACCAGGTTAGCTGGGCTCACATAAAGGAGCTCTGACAACCTGTCCCAACTGACAAAGTAGTGTTTTCAATGCTAAAGGATTATGCTAAAGCATTTATTTTGCAAGTGGTAAATCTTGCTCACACAATATAATCAGTGGAATCCACCACTTGTGCAACAGAATCTCCAAGAAATAAGAGAATTGGTATATTAGTAAATGCCCCACTGGAGTCTACCTTTACTGCTTGAAATGGTAAGGAGCCAAATTAAAAATTCTATTCATTTTTTACCTTGTGATCCCAATGTAAGCCACTTCCTGCTTTAAATAATTATTTACTAAAGAAATTCCAACATCTTGTACTGATACAATGATTTCTTGTTCTGCTAATTCAGCTTTTTCACTTTCATATGTCACTTTGAAGACCTTTTCATCTTCAGTGAACAGAATTATTCGCTGCAAGCCTTCAAAAAATGAAACCAAATAAATGGTCTTCTTTCCCAACTCGACAGGTGTCATCAAATCCTAGCAAAAAAAGCAAACATTTATTTTTCAGGCTAACAGTCTCAAATCCTACACATACCTTCACCTCAATTTTAGCAAAGCTTACTCTAAAAAAACCTCTATTGTTTATAATGCAGCCAACTTTGAAGTTAATATATTTAAGATTGTAAATGTAGATGTAACAGCCTACTTACAATCCTGTTCATGTCTACTCAAACAGAAGACTCATACTTCCAGAAAAATGAGCATAGGAATGCAGCCCAAGGTAATTAAGGGTACAATCTTATGCATATTTAGGCTACTTCTATGCATATTTAGACAACTTTAAATTTCTATGACTTCCAGCTTACCTCAACCACCTAAGCCTGTCTCAGCATGATAAGGGCAGCAACTTCAGAGTGCAAGCCTACATAGACTACAGGATGTGGCTGATTTCTTTTCTGAGGGTGGGGATCAACTTCTGCCTCTAGAGGGGAAGAACTAACCAGGGATCCATACTCCTAGGTAATGTAGAAATTTCCACAGGAATTGCATGAAGATAAAGTATCATATCAGCTCTATGACTGTGGTTGGGAAGGGATTAATTGCCATCAAATAATTGCCATCTCACCTTCCAATTTATACCCCCAACACAAGGGAACATTTAGATCTGCCAAGGAGCTCATCTAAACATTGTTTTTCTTTCACCAAAAAAAGCCATGTAGGGGACAAAAAACAAAAAGGCTTCCTATTGTCTTCTGTTTTGCTAGTAAGAGCCCAGCAGGGCATCGGATAGATTGGAAAATCTGATGTTTGCTTTGCCAAGGTATTATTCCCAAATTTACTCCCTAAATTTTCTTAAGTAATTTGGTTTGGATCTCAGGATTATGTAGTAAGATCAAATAGAACAATCATTCCTTCAAATACTGAGTAAGGCCTATCGGAATCACACCTTAGTATCAGGCTGTTGTTATGTGCAGTCAAGTCATCTCTGACATATGACAACCCCATGAATGAAAGCCTTTCAAAATGTCCTCTGCATAGCAAGCTCTGCTCAGCTCTTCTTTTCAACATTGCGGCTTCCTTTATTAATCCATCTTATATTTGGTCTTCTTTTTCTTCTTCTACTTTCAACTTTCCCTAGCACAATTTTCTTTTTGTGATATGTCCAAACTATGACACCCTTAGTTTTGTTACTTTTGGTCCTAAGCTTTAGGCTATTGGGCTTTTTAAAAGAAGCTTGCTCCTTGGGAGGAAAGCTATGGCAAATCTAGACAGCATACTAAAAAGCAGAGACATCACCCTGCCGACAAAAGTGCGTATAGTCAAGGCTATGGTTTTCGCAGTTGCAATGTATGGCTGTGAAAGCTGGACCATAAGGAAGGCTGAGCGCCAAAGGATTGAGGCCTTTGAATTGTGGTGCTGGAGAGGACTCCTGTGAGTCCCTTGAGACTGCAGTCCCTTGAGACTGCAAGGCAATCCAACCAGTCAGTCTTACAGGAGATCAACCCTGACTGCTCTTTAGAAGGCCAGATACTGAAGATGAAACTCAAATACTTTGGCCACCTAATGAGAAGGAAGGACTCCCTGGAGAAGAACCTAATGCTGGGAACAATTGATGGCAAAAGAAGAAGGGGACGGCAGAGAATGAGGTAGTAAGATGGAATCACTGAAGTAGTTGGTGTGAGCTTAAGTGGACTCTGGGGGATGGTGGAGGAGAAGAAGGCCTGGAGGAATATTGCCCATGGGGTCAAAATGGGTCGGATGCGACTACGCAACTAGCAACAACAAATTGGGCTTCTAAAAAGTTCAAAGGAATAATTTTTGGTGGCAGCAGTTAAAAGTTTTGTTATGAAGACCTTGTAGTCTCAACATGGCAAAAAGCGAAGCATGACAGTTAAACTCTACATGATTTTCCATATTTGGTGACATGATGGCATAACCCACATATTGTTCCTCCACACTTAAACAGAATGCATTACATTAAATATCTATTTAAATGCATAATATACAATACTTTGTTCTTAGGTCTCCTCGAGTTAGAATATATACTTTTAAGCATTCAGTGATGTATAAATCTCTACAACCAATACAATGTAGATTTTTACACTGCTTCATCTCCCTTCCATTTTATCTGCTGTTGCATACCATGGCTGACACACCAGTGCTTGCTCTGAACTGGAGCAAAACACAGGTCCTCTGATCCAGATGTTAGTTTAACCATTCATCTAACAAAGAAGTTCTGACCTCAATTAGCTATCCAACCCAAATAATCAATTAGCTAGCAGTTCTAGATTGCCTTATAGGTTAGGGTTAACCCTATATGTCATATGTATATGTCACTGAGAACCAGCTTACAAGAAAACGTATTTTGTTCTCTTTATTCTGAATTTACCCAGTTTCTCTTATTTTTTGATTTCCATTGTTTTTGCCTCCTGTTCCTGGATATTTGTTGCTGATTCTACAAAGATACTGATCTCAATTAATTTTCTAATAAGCTTTAAAGCATTAGTAGTGAAACAGATTATTTGGGTGCGAGATATCATATAGTATCAATTCAAGCTTCATCAAGCAGTATCATACATACATCCTTCTGAGTTACTTCTCCACTGCTTTTTCCACAAGTCCATTTCAATTTTCTAGAACCTACTGGATCGACCCATGTGTAAAGTACTGCTTTATTTGGTGCTAAAGCATCTTCCATTTCACAGAGAGAACTGCAAACAAAAATAGGAAAACATAGTAAATATTAAATTAACTACATTGAGGTTGACATGAAAACACTGTTTGGTAGCCTTTTGTCCATTAGAACACTTTCCCCTCCATAAATTACATTTTTCAAATAATTTGTATTACTGAATGTCAAAAAAGTAAACTGAAAATTTTCCATATCTGTAAGACTGAACTTTTCCTAGACTTACCGTATTTTTCCGTGTATAAGACGCTACTTTTTCTTAAAAACATTTACCTAAAAATAGAGGTGCATCTTGTACACGGGGGGGGGGGGCGGCAAGAGAAGAACCACGGACTTGCTCAGGGATAGAGGAGACTGGCACGATCGTGCACGCAGGAGGGTGGTGAGGAGGGTGTGCGCATGGCAGCAGCTTGCTCACTGGAGATCAGTAGGAAAAGTGGGGGGTATCCTATACATGGGGTGTCTTATAGATGGAAATATATGGTATATATTGTTGTGCTTTATTTTTAACTCTGGAGCACATAAAGAACTTGAGCTATGGAAAATTATTGAATTGGATTAGGCTTCATCTCATTTGAAAAATATTGTTAAGTACTTCCCTAAGATATTCAGGTTTTTTCCTATTCAGCTGGGAATCTTCAGTAAGGGACTAGAGAAGAATGTATCTATTTACATATAATCTATACCTACCTTTGTCCATATTCAATTGTTTCAGCTTTAGTATGGTTAATTATCAGGAAGGGAGCTGCTCCATCATGGTAATTAGAGAACGTAACTGATGTAGAATGCTCAGCAAGTGTAACATCCACTATAATGCCTCCAAGCTAGCAGATATGAAAACAGTGCATTAAATTTGACTTTACTGATTAGACTAACGTCTTCTCACTAATAAATTAATTTTAAAAGTTTAATTAGTTTGGTGGAATTTATTTATTTGTACTATTCCTATACAATTCAATATTTAAGAAAATCCCTAAGCAATTCCCCCACAAATATTAACATTATAATTAAAATCACTTTTAAAAACAATAGAACTATGATGATGATGACAATGATTTGCCCTGCTCCTCCTGGCTTATTCAAGCTAGCTGTTAACACTTGTTTATCCAGGGTTTCCCTTCTGGTAATTGAATTAACCATGTTATTCCATTTTACTGGTTCAGAGGAGAAGAACAGAAATATGACATACATATTCAAATTTTACCTAACTAGCAAATCATACTACTCACCCTATTGTCTAAGTGTAGCAGCAGACTATTTTCTTGCTTGTCAAGCTGTATAATTTTGGGTGGAATATCGGAATTTTCTACTCTAACCTGTAATTTGCTTTCATTATTTTGAGGCCAAAAGGGAATACACTGGAATAAAAAAGAGAAATAAATAAAAAGAAATACATAATAGAAAATGAATTAGAGCCTTCATAAAGCAACCCATTTTCTTTAACTCAATATAAGTCATAAAGAAAATTTTGCACCAATTAATGAACATCATTTGAACATGGGAAAGATGAATTAAATATTGTCAGCTTTAGAAATTTGCATGAAATTTATTACTCTGAATATGAATAAAATTAGTAAGAGTAAGGAAGCATACTGTTCTCACACAGCAATAATTACTAATACTTAGTGTACTATTACAATACTTCAATATAGCATTGTAATAGTACACTAACACTTTTTTATCACTTAGCCTGAATGCTGTGGCCCTTTTTATATTGCTTTTATGGGTGTTTTAATTAGTTGTGTTTTAATTGGTTTTAATGTGTTTTGCTTCGTTAATATGTTTTATGTATTTTAATCTGTCTAAGAAGGCCTCAGCTATTATAGACAGCCTGTAAGTGCGTGCATGCATGTATAAATAAATAAAGGGTGGCATAAATTAGAAGATAACTGTAAGAAAATTAAACTAACAAACATGATGTACTCAAGGTTTCAGAGGCAAACAGGTAATCCATTCACTTATTTTCCGAATTCAAAGGCTACATTTCATACTATTCACAGTGCTCTATAACAATAGCGAAGTAGCCAATTTATTTTATCAATTCCATAAAGAGAGGCACAATCAGTACTGCAATATTTTTTCTCTTGTCTTCCATTCATTCTGGTTGGTTCTTTCATCTTTATTCAGCATTCCGCTGTCAGAATTATTGCCAGCATTCGTAGATGTGAGTTTCAAAAACAGCTGGTTATTGGGCCATGGTAGCTTCATAGTTTAAGACCTGGAAACCTAGGGACAATGCCATGTAGATATTCGTCTTGCCAAGTAATCCAGCCAGTGCACCTTGTGGTCAACTAGCATCACGTGCTCCCATTGTGATGTCCCCTGTGCCAACTCAACTTTGGCTGCTGGAACAGGAATGGAACATCCTTTCCCAGCATCTGGTACATTGACTCCACATTCCTTAATGTATTGAGAGAGGCAGGAGACTTCCAGAACTGCTTGACTGTGTGTAGCAGGGCTGATAAGAAAGGGATGGCCACTGATGTGTTGAGATCTCATAACCCAGGGTGTTGTCAGCAACCAGGTCCTGTTGGTGTTTGGTCTGTGGCCATCCTGAGCACCTTCTCCAAGAAATGCCCCTTCTCTTCTGATGGAGATATTGGGTCTTGGGAATACACAGCCACATCCAGAGATGGTTCCTACAGGGATAGCAGGATGAGTCAGAGGCATAGTCTTCCAAGCTGCAGAATGGAGATGGGTTTTGTGATTGCTGCAGCCTCAATGTTGATGGTGCTGGGGAGTGATGTCAACTCAGTACCAAGGCCCAGTGTCAATCCAGGTCCAAAGGCTGGTGTCAGCCTGATAGCAAGGCCTAATGGCAATCTGCTGTCCAAGTCCAGGTGTTGGCCTGGTACCTGGGCCTGAGGTTGGCTTGGAGGAGGAGCCTAGTGTTGAGTGGTTGCCAGGGAAGGAGGGTGCTGGCTGGACTTCGAGGAGAGGTGGCTGGCAGATGACCTGCCTCCACATCAGTCTCACATCAAGGGTTGATGTCAGCTTGTGCAGTCTTGGCATAGGTGGAACTCAGTCATGGCACCTGTCATCTTGGTGCCTTGGCCCAGTATCGATCCAGTACCATGGTTCACAGTCATCATCACTGGAGGAGCTGGACCATCTCCAGGGCAGCGGGATGCTGGGGATTAATTGGAGGCCTGGACCCAGCTGGTAAGGGGAAAGCAGGGTCGGGCCTCGTTGTCTCCTTGCCTCTGAGCTCAGTGTCAAGGCTGGGATGCTCTGGCACTAAACCACTCTCCAACAATGACATCGTCAACTTTGTGGGAGTGCCTGGGAAGTGTTGTAGAGGCAAGTTGAGCAGCACCTGTGTCAGCTCCAGGAAGTACAATTTTCTGGAAGCAGAGATCTGAAGTGATTGATGGAGTGGGGTTGCGGCGGGCTAAGCTCCTGGTTCCCCCTACTGGCATGGCAGCAGGAGCTTCTCTCAGCTCTGGGAATTGGGAGTGGTTGGCTGTTGATGGAGACCAAATAGCCACAATCACTGTTCAGCTGGGGCCCATGTGGCACCTTTTGTTTGAGCATGGTGGAAGTGGCCATCTTTTCAGAGCATTTCCTGGCCATATGGTTGCCTGGAGAACAGACCTATTGCAGTTGTGGTTTGATCATGGAGTCTCTCACTACAGAAGGGGAAGGAGAGTCCCATCCTTTCCTGGAAGAGTAAGCAACTTGCAGGGCCTTCTTCCAAAGTTCAGTCTTGAGCTGATCGGTGTTTCCCCAGTTTGTTTATGAAGGCCTAGCAATGAGCACAAGCCTCCATGACATGTCCAAACAAAGGAGGTAGAGGGAATGGCTGTCAGATGGCAGCAGCCTGCTATCACAGGAGGTACAGCTCCTAAAAGTCACAAATGATGTCATCATGGGGGATGGGAAAGATAGAGTAGGATATCTAGAGGGGCAGAGCCTTGAAACACCTCTGAGGAGTGGTGCATAGGAAAGTGGGTGGAAAAAATATTTTGGAGAGTTTTTTTTTAAAGTAAAGAGTGATGAAATCAGTTCATTGATGACGGGGGAAAGGAGATGTTTTTCTGGGCAAGAGTAAGGGAAAGAATGAGAGAGAAGAATGGAGTACTTAACTGGAAGAGTATGAAGCAATTGCTAATCTAGGTGTGATGGTGGTTGAAAAGGGACTGAAGTTATTGTCCCTCTCCACACTTACTGGGAAGAATGGTAGTACTGGTTCGAAGTTTATTGTACTACACAAGGCCATGGCAATTTAAAAAATGAATGAGCTCTGACAAGAAAATGAAGCATTTCAACAATATAAAATACAAATAAATTAAAATATATTATGAACAGAAATTCAATTTCTTTAACTCCGAATTTAAAATGTAGTATATGGCAATTTGTCTAATTCCTTTTTCCTGATCTTTTTTTCTGACAAAGCAAACAAAGCAGCTTTATGTGTTATACAACTATTAATATAACTTATAAGAAAAATAACTGCTTCTGCCAAGACATTCCTGTATCCACATGACAGCAAGGATTTCAAGAATCTCTCTCAGGAGTTTATCGATAGAGGACAGATGAATGAGTAATGAATGTTTTCAACTTGATATAAACCATAAATACATAATCTGCATTAAAAGGGCACCTTGTTATATTGCCCATTCAGAACTGCAGTTGTCTTAACAGGAAATCACAACTCAATAAAGGCATTTCTTAAAGAGGATGATCTCAACCTGGATAGATAACTAGCTCTATGATGTTCTGTTTTCGAAAGAGAAAACCACTGAGAGAATTTAGTTTTTAATCAATTGTAGGTCTTTTCTAGAGTGTATCCCAAACACCAATCCCTGAATTGTTTCTTATCCAGTGCAAGGATAGTATCCAAATCAGAAATATAATAACTACATGCCAAATTATGAAGCACTGACTTCCAGATATGGTTTTCAATCTTTCCAAACAGCACAAAGCTGGAAAACGTTCATTAGGCAGAAGAGCAATTCATTTATGACTTTGCAATTGAGCACAGTATATTTTTGTTCTGACTGATGGACATGCTGATTCCGTAAGCAAGAAGGTTGCAGGGGTTGAGGATGGATGCTAATAGTTTGTGAAAGAAGTTGTTCAGCACTATTTCCAAAACATTTATGGTAGTGCTGTTGGTTTCCTAAATTTCAGCCACATAAAGTATTTGTGCAATCACTTTCAAGGCACGTTCAATCAGCTGCCCACTTTTGTTATAAAGCAAATTCATTAACGTCACAATGGTTTTCTGTGCCTTCATTTTTACTGCCATCCTGTGTTCTGCCCATGAGAATGATTAATTAAAAAGGATGCCCAAATATCTAAATGAGCAGGGAACAGGAAGTGGAGGGGCTCCCACCCAAACGAACACTCAGCTATAGAAGTTTCCTGACAATGGGCTCCACACAGGCATAAAGCCCATTATGCGTGATGCACAGAGACCACAAAGAACTACAGGATTCCACATTGTACTTATGGCCTAACAAAACAAACCTGGATTGCAATGGAGAATACTGCCAGCAGCAAGCCCATACGTGTGATTGCACAGACACCACGAAGAAGAAACATAGTTATTAACAGAAGAAAATTATGAAGGACCCCTTTATATACAACTGGTATTTGTCAAGTAAGTTGCAAGTGCATAAATGCAGAGAATTTTTAAAAGGCTTACCTGTTGGAAAATTACTGGTATCCACTTTTCATTGCCTTCTTCAGCTACTTCTAAAGTATGTGTACTTCTGTTTGTGATCATAAAATAAGGTGTGAATGTCACTATTCTAGTAATGTTAAAACTGCTGTTATGTATCGTGACACCAACCTGGGAAAGACAAACATTGTTCAGTGTGCATGAGTCTTACTACTTTAAATGGTATGAGTCTTACTACTTTTAAATGGTGCCCACAGACTGATAGATTTTTGTTTGTTTTGTAGATACTGCTGACATTTTTACAAGAAACATTAGAACAGGCAGAAAACTTGTAGCATGCCATGTAGTTTTGGCCTACAACTCCAATGAGCCCTAGTCACCATAATCAGTGCCAAGGGATGATGGGATCTGTAGGCCAAACTGCTGGAGGACAGTGTCTCAAGGTGCAATTCACACTACTTTCCCATGGAACATTGCATATTTTGTGGGAAATATCCATGTGTTCAGCTCCTCACTCAGAGAGAATATATATATGAATATATGAAGCTGCCTTATACCAAGTCAGGCCACTGATCCAGCTAGTTCAATTATTGGCAATGGCTCTCCAAGGTAGAAGCAAAGTGTCATTTATTACTACCTCTACCACCACCACTACTACATTTATATCTGTCTTGCAGTTTACAAGTTTCCTAATATTAAGCCTGGGACCCTCTCTGTCCAGAGTGGATCCTCAGCCATAACACTACAGTGCTTCTCAACAATACCATGGCTATTTACATTTTTTTCCTAACAGGAGCACTTTACAGATAAACAGCTGCCATGTAGCTGAAATGTCTAAACAGCAACTTTTCATCTCATTAAAACTTTTGAGTAGTCTAGGCAAAAAGACCTTTGTGACCCTTCTCTACAGTTAGCACCTTTCCAAAAAATGTTGATCTTGTGCCTATAGTTCTGGTTAAATTTGTTCCTAATGTATTGGTAAATTCATGAAACTTTCTCAGAATAATTCCCACCCCTTTTCAATAAGTAGGCTATACTTTCTCAGAATTTGGTGCGCTTTTTCCATTGTATTTAGCAAAATACAAGAAAATGTAAAGATACATTTCTAGGAGGAAGAAATATTTCCAGGAGTCACATGATAATGGCTTCTAGTTAATGAAATCCTATGTTACTGAGCTTTTAAGTTGTTGCAAACATGTTGTTTTGTTTTTTTACAGAGACTGATGCAGTGACACTGAAGAAGAAATCTGAAGGGAAATAAAGGGAGTGTGCATATCTTGACTGTAATTCTATGCAAGTTTACTAGGAGTAAAGTCTAAATAAATGAAATAGGTCAGTCTGTCTGTATGTCTTTCCTAGGGGTCATGCACATAATTACGCCTGCAAGAGCATTAAGTGTATTAAACAATCAACTCACTTGGTATTCCTTTTTGTGACCCTTACATTTAACGGAACCATGACTGCCAACTGTATCCAGAGAAAAATGATCAGAGAGTTCACTGTCTGTGACCATAAGCTGAACCTATTAAGGAGAACACTTATTATGATCTCTTCAATACAAGCAGAATTAAAGAAAGGAACAACAGAGTGGCTGTTACCTGGAAGATGACTAATAGATACTAACAATGGGACTTCCAGGGAATGAGTGAAATTGCTCTTGCTCTATTTTCCAGCCACCATTCATACATTCTTCCAAGACATTCAGTGTATTCCAAGCCCACCCCATGTTCCCGATAACAAATGCTCAGCATTCTGTGTTCATTTAGCATGGCTTTATTGAGCTGTATTGGAAGTGTTAAATACACTTTTTTTTTTCTTACGGCTTCAAAATTTTCTTCTACTGCTGCGAGTTTTGTGGATTTCCATGTTTACCTGATACCGCTTTCTCTTATTCCTCAGTAGCCCATTTTAGCTGTATTAATTATATTGTGCACAGTACATATGCTTTCCTTTCCTTAACAAATTGCAGGTTGGGAACATTTATGCTTTATGAATGCCACTGTTTATACCAGAAAAAATCCCCCTCCCCATCGGCTGTAAGCATAGCAATATATTAATACCAATTGTCAGTAGGAATAGAAATAATAGCATATTTTCTGTGTAATACATATCTGTGCAAATATATAACCAAAATTCACAAAGCAAAACTAAGTTTTAATTCAACATACTTTTATGAGATTGAAAAGAGTACCTTGTTATCATGGTAAAAATGCTTAGGTTGGAAAGAAAAGAGAAGTGGCATCTTGTAGTCAGGTGGATGTTTGCGGTGAATGCCATCAGCTTTGTATTGCAACATTCGACCAGTCTTATTCACCATCCAGTACGGACTGTGAATTGCTATAATCATTTGTCCTGTAGCATAGGTTACGTGCACAGCAATATCCAAATCTGTCTTATCTACATCACTAATATAGGAAAATGTGATGAAACTAATTTCTTGTTGATTTGTTTGAATGTGATACTCAGAGGTCCAATTTTTGTTGAGGTAATTAAGTAACTGTAATTCCAGCTTGCTCTGGTCCAGTACTGCATTATGAATCTGAACTGAACATCCATCATCTAAAGTACTGTATGTTCCATCATATCCCTTTGAAAGAAAAGTTCCAGCATGAATAAAATAGGTAATATATACATTAGTAATGATTTCATATTAAATACAAAGTGGGCAATTTGTTCCAGCTATTATCAAAAATCCACAGTCACAATGATATGGACAAAAGCAGACATCTTACGTTTATGTCATGTGGCCAGGTTTTTCCTTTGGATGCCATGACATATCATTTATGTGTCTCTTGCTGTTATTCTGCTACATGAATTATTTGTGGCACTGAGAAAATGCTATGAATGCTTACTTTGAGAGATCTTCATCTTAGAAAAGATATTTGCTCAGAGTGTGGTTTTACCTAGGTATATTCCTGGCAATGTTATCATACTGATGAAACATATTTCTAAAATAATTTACAGCTAGGAAAGATTCCAAATATCCATATGAGTTTAACAAGAGAACAAACAACTCACAACATTTACAGCTATCAGTTCCTGTAGACATCAGGCAGCAAAAGATCCTCAACAGATGAATCAACAGCTAATAATAACCAAATACACAACCATGTGGCTGAGATGTATTTGGTTAAAACAAACTGTTTGCAAGCTAGAAAACTGATATTTTTTTTCTATGTGCATTTACTAGGCATGGAAGGCAGCAACTGAATTCTGGACACAAATGATTACATTTTGGGACATTATCAGTTTGTTTCATATTTTCAGAAAGAATACTTCTATGTCTTGAGTGCAAGAAATAGAAAACAATTAATACAGATAGTTACCTCTAAGGAATAGCTGATCTGATAAGGAAGAAGATTGCGGAGAAGAACAGAAGGCCATAAATGAACGATATATGGTAAATCCCATTGATCATCTGTACACACTGAAGATATCAAAGTATCTTGCATTGGAACAATATTGATGATAAGAGAATGGGTAGCTGAATTTTTAAGTTGACATTTTTTCTGCAACAATTTGCCAAAGTTCTTCACCATTTCATCAAAGCTAACTCCTTCACTTGATGCATATTCTTCAGAAATGTCATCAGTTATTGGTCGGAAAAAAAGTAGTGATCTGTAAGCAAGCATACAAATGACTATTCCTACCTTACTCTCTTGTATAAACATTCACTACAATCTATTAAAACAATTAAATTAAATTAAATATAATAATAAAAAACACATACAGTACTAGGAGAGGTACTATCAAACATATACATGTAAACACATTAGTCTTTAATAATCCAATAAAGCAGTATATTATTATTAAAAACTTTAAGTTTTTAGGTTTTCAAGAGACATCTAAGATTAATTCATTTTTAATTGAATTATTTCAGATATTTATATTCCATTCTATTCAGTCAATGACTCTCAGCATGGTTTAAAACATATTAAAAATTTAAAACATAACACACATTGCCAGGCAAATTTAAACAATCACAAAATTGTATGATGACCTACAGTAAATGTATTATGACCACTTCTATTTGACAGATTGCTGTGTAAGGATTAGACAATTGTATTTTCTTTCTGTAACTTTGGCACAGAGAAGAGAAAGAAGTTCAAGGAACTATGTGTTTATGAAAACGAGGGAGCAAATGGACAGGGTTTAGTGGACAGCGTCTTCATGTATTTGTAGTGGACAAGGGAGGGGTACGAGTGCAGGAATGTATGTAGCATTGTGCCTATGGGTGTCAGTAGGCATGCTTTCACTACAATGGGGCAAGGACCCTTTTCTCATTCTCTTAGAAGTGTGTACGCTTATTGGAAGGCTTTGCTGCATCAGACTAAGGCCGCGCCGCTGATTCCATCACTACCTGACTGCCCTGCCACGCCCCTGCACACGTGGCAGGCGTGCCCGGATGGGGCGGGGCGTCGGGCGGCCGGCGGCTAGAAAGCGCCGCAGAGGGGAGCGCCGGCGGGAGGAACAACACCTGGCAGACAGCGCTGCGAGAGACCGCGCCGCGCTGAAGACCGCGCCGCGCCGCCGATTCCATCGCTACCTGACTGCCCTGCCACGCCCCTGCACACGTGGCAGGCGTGCCCGGACGGGGCGGGGCGTCTGGTGGCTAGAAAGCGCCGGCAGCGCCCGGGGCCGGCGGCCTCGGGCTGGTGGCCGAAGGGAGTCGGCCAAAGGGCAGTCGCCGCCGTTTGGGGGGGCCGTTTGGGGGGGCCGAGGGGGGCTGGGCTGGCCAGGGGACTTGCACTTTTGTTGTGTTAGGCCCTCCTGTTGAGCGGCGAATTTTAAATGTTTTTATAATTTTAAAGCGTTTTTATCTGTTTTTATGGAGTCGTCCCTGGCCATGTTGGCGCTTGAGTTACCTGGGGAGCGCACTGGCGCCGCCATTGGTGTGGTGATGGGCAATGGACGTAA